GCCTCCATGTCCCCATTGCAACTTCTGCTGTCGCTGGTATAAGAATGATATAATCCTATGGTACAGACTAAATGATGTCTCAAAGTGTAGTCCAGGTTTCTTTTCTGTGGCTTTATTCCTTATTTGTCCATGCAGTGCAAAAAGAGATCATAAACTGTCATTCTTAAGTGGATAAGGAAAGGGATAGGGATGTCTGGGGATTGATTTGCAACTGGTGAGTAAAAGATCCTTTAGAAATACAAAACCAATGGTATTACCTCAAGTCATGAGACTCTGCTATTAATTAGAGGGTACACATAAATAAGAACAATGTTTTATTCTCACTTAAAGGATGCAAAGCTTTCAAATAATGCAGGCTGCCTGCATGGGAAAGTTTGCTGCTTCTTGCTGTGTGATTCTTTGAGATATTGTATATGCCCCCTCTGGCAGACCCTGGAGTAATCTTTGTTTAAACTCTTTAATTGTTTTGAAAACGTGTTCTCACTTGGATTAAAAAAAAAAAAAAATCCTAGTTTTAAATGGGCAGATTCCGTTCATCAGCTGACACTCATCCTGTGCAGAAGTCAGGTCAGTCAGAATTTAGTGAATTTCCTGCCAACAGAATATCGGTACATAGCAAAGTATGACTATGATATTTTTTCCTTTGCCAATAGCAAGGACTGTCCTATTGATCTCTCCCATGCTACAGGTTGGGAGATGAAGGCAGATTTCAACATTTTTTTACTGTAGTGGCAGTTTCCTGATGTAATCCAGGATTACTCCCTGCTGGCCAAATAAGAACAGACAAAAAAAGGCCAGCCCTCAGCTGAGCATCTGATTCAAAAGAAAATTCAGCTGAAAGGCAAGCATTGGAAAGATGAGTCAATACAAAAGCAAGCGGCAGCTCTGGATTTAAGCAGAAGTCCACAGCATTTAACCTACTTTAGCAGATCAATGCAGTGGATTTTTAATCATCACATTAATCCTAAAATAAAAATAATTACCCCAGAGATCTGTATTAAAGTCCCTTCATTATATCGCATTTCATCATCCTTTTTACTCAGGATCAGAAGATACAGAGGTCAGAGTTTCCCGATGTCATTCTCCGGCTTGCAGCTTAACTCTCTTATTCAGACTTTAGGTCCTACTATGGGGACAAAGCACTGGTCTTGCTGAGAGCACCCACATCCATCCCATTTGGGGGGGGGAATCGAAAAAGGATAAAAAAGAGATGGGCAGGATCCTTCTTTCCAATGACACAGTATAAAACAGTAAAGGAAGGAGCAGAGGACATTACATGGTGGGCGAAAAATGTGTGAATACTGAGAAATTCAATCTCTACTTTCTCCCTGTCTTCCAGCAATGCCAGGAGGTCATCAATATATCAGAAGGGGAAAGAGGGGACTCGACCAGAGGCTGGGCTCCTCATCAAATTTCACTGAGCATTTTATTTCCTGGAGCATCCTCTCCTGTCCACAGTCCTGCCAAACGGATGCTTTGGGAACATGGCTGTGGGCAAATGCAGGATGACAATCCTCCATGACACCCTCCACAGCCAGCCTAAGGTGGGATTTTATGGCAATCAAACCAGCCCATTTCCTGCTTCAAGGGCAAGTGGCACGGCACAGCTTACAGTCATATAGCTAACTCTTCCATTCTTCTCCCAGAAAGAGGTGCCTTTGTCCACTCCACTTACTGAGACCAGTCCCAAGTCTATGCTGTGCCCTGTGTTCTGTCCTTCAGGTAAGAATTCCCTGCCTTGCAGGCTTTTAGCTATTTTCACCACCTTCTTGCAGAGAAAAAAGCTACCTCTGTGTTATATATAGACTAAAAAGCATTGTACATTGCTGGAATAGTACTTAAGGCAATTTTCAGGTTTCTCTAAATACACTAGGGAATTTCTTTCCGCTGCCCTGGGAAGAGGCCATGGGGCCTGATATTGTTGCTGTGCTGGGATGCAAGCAAAGGCTATCGTCAAACAAGCTGCATGTGGAATCCTAGCGAGTAAATGGCTGTAGGTTTAGGCAGCATCCCGAAGCTCCAGCTTGGCAAGAGGCACTAGAGCTATAAATATCCCACTTCTCTGCAAGGATACTTTCCAAAACCACCAGCTCCACTGTGGTCCCTGAGGTGCAAGCTATAACACGTCCAAGGAACCTCACAGCCAGCATCAGCTTCTAGCAGGAGACTTAACACCAGAGTTTAGTGAAATACAAGAGCAATTAAAGGTTACTGCTACCCCTGCACAGACCAGACTGGCAATCAAACTGCCTGGGAATGCTCACCAGAATGCACTGCAGGGTATTGAGACTGAAGGAACGGAAAGGTGAAAAAAGTACCTTCATGATAATATTATGGTAACAATATAGGTTGCCTATGTAAATCACCTTTCTATCATCAATAACTGACAGACTGAGACTGTCATGTCCTGCATTCTTATTTCATGAAAGATGGGAACTGTCTCCTCCTGGCAGAAAGGAGCTGAAGTGCTTTTGCCCTGCACTGAGTGGGGGAAGTCCTCTTTCAGACTCTTTCACGTGATGAGAAGAAAAAGGAAAAGAAACAAATCATTACAAGTTGGAATAAACCCCCCAAATATTAATAAACAGTATTTTCCAGTCCAAGTGAGAAAATGTATGCACATCTCCCTTCTTAAGCCCCTTTGATGGCAGAGGGCTCAGAACCAGACTTTATCCTTGCAATCCTTGGAATTTTACATCAGCCTTTTTTTTTATTCCCTGCAGCCCATGGATGACAGGAGAGGCTCCCAGGCCATGAGGCAGAACAGAGACAGGCCACAGAGATCACTCACTGGAAGAGTTTTAGTTGCGTCTTTTTATCTTTTCCATTTCTTATTTCTGTTTATACTCGGGATTTATTTTTCATCGCTCTAATCCTGTTTCAGTTATTTCGATGTAGAAAACCAAGGAATGGTAGGGTTGTCATGCCTCCAGGGCAAATGAGAAAAACTGAGAAATAAGGCATGATGGGACACCTCAACTGCCCATAAAGTCATACTCTCAACACCAAGGCAGCTAGGTAACACCTTTGTCTACCTAACAGGCTCCTGAAGCATACAAATATGGAGATTTTATATCTTCTTGGGTAAGCTCTTTCTGTAAAATTTTCCCATCGTGGTTAAATCCAGATCTTTACTGCAACAACTTACCATGTTGTGAGTCTTCACAGAGGTATGTTTATTACCTTCCTCTTATCAGAAATAGTTCGGGCATTTCAAGGCAGTTTTTATCTCTCCCCTCAATTTTCTCCAGGCCATACAAACATGTTTTCTACATCTCTGCTTTTTCTTGCTCCTTTCAACTGAAGAATCACATCTTTCTGGAACTGAGGTGCCTAAAAATCAGACAGAGCCGCCCAGCTAAGGCCTTGCTGCTATGCAAGGCATGCAAATTGCTCTGTGGATAAACAACACTCCTGTCTATACACTGAAAGGAAGTAAACTAATAAATTAACTTTGGCTGAAGAAACTGAATAAGGAGCTGAGGTAGAGACTAAGTAACAATGTTAGGAATAGATGTAGCTGATGTTAGTCATTGTAGTAGCTGTACTTTTCTGCCTGTTTGCTTTGCTTGTAGGAGCCACAGGAATTTGCCTTGTTTGCACAAATAAGATATACTGAGACCCTCATTGTCTCTGTGAGAGTGAGAAGACAAACACAAGGCCAAAAGAGACTGTTAAGATAAACTCCCCCAAGGATGCAATGCCAGAACCAGCCATGAGGGCTGGAAAGGTGACAAGAAGGAATACGCATGTGCCAAGCAGGAGGGCTCAGCCAGAGGACAAGTGATGAAGACTATGAAATGACCATCGGGGGTCTCAGAAGACCCTCAACAACCACAGCCTCAATTGACTGCACAAGCATGAGAAGAGTAGGGATATTATGATAACTTTCAGGAAATAATTAGCATGTATGTATGAGTTCCTGGAAATCTAATGAACATGCATGATTTGTGAAAATAAAAACTGTCCCATTTGGAGACATATTATTAAGAGGAGCAATCCCCCATGCACGCTGCACCATCACTAAAGGAACGGTTGCTTAACAGTATCATGCTGTTGGGTCGATTTCTTTGAATCAAAATATTAATGTCATGCTTGCTTTTCCCTCCCAGAGAGAAACATTTGCTGATTTGCCAGTGTTTTGCTTGCTCTTGGCACAAGGCAAACAACTACATGAGTTGCAAACAAGGCAAAGACCAAAGCATCGATCTCTTCTGGCAGAATGTAGCTTAATTCCAGTAAAAAAATTCCACAGCAGCTGCCTGCACTACTGAAACCCACTTACCTCAAAGCACGTAAGAGAGACATTCCTGTTTATAAGATCATACAATTGTAACTTCTCAAACTAGATTTAAGTAAAATAAAATCTCTGTGGGTCAAGATTAAATACTTAAAGATCCCCACTAGTGTTTGCTGTGAGAAGAGCAGTACCATTTTCAGATCAAAGACTGATGTGCTGTACAACAAAGCAGTCTCAGCAGCAATTCATAAGAATACAGCAGTGAAAAAATAAAGTGCTCTCTCAGTTATTTGGAACAGTAATATTGCCCCTCTGATTTCAGGAATTGCACCTGCTTTTTTTGTTTCTAAATATATTAAAGTTTAAGCTACACACACGCTACTTTAATTCAACCTCCCAAGACATTTCAGCTTGAACTTACATAGAATGGGAAGCCTGTAAGGCAGGGTCAGCTCAGGAGCAAATACTCAGGTGGTACAAATCAGTTTAAGGTAAACATGATCTGTATTTTTGCAACAGCTGATGATTAAAACATACTCTAAGAAACTCATGAAACATTACATTCTGCCTACCATTCTGCTGTATTCATAATCTAACAGACATTACAGATGCCAGACACTCCTTCCTAGATTGACAAGATATTAATACTGTCATCACAACACTGAGCAGTGGTTTGAACTGTTATAACGGTTTGGCTGGAGCTCTATCTCCCTTTAGTCCAATCAGACAACTTTTCCTTTTCTCTTAAATCCCCCCTTACCTTTTGAGATAGTTCCTCCCATAGAGAATCTGCTGCAGCAAGGTGACCACGGCAAAGGCGCAGATGAATATGAAGAACAAAGTTCTGTTTCCCAGCAAATCCCGGCTTGACGAAGGGTCAGTGTATCCCATCCTTCTTGAAAGCCACTGAAGCTCCACTGGGTAAAATTCAGTTCATCACCGCCTTCATGCCCTTTTTGCTGGGAAGTGGAGGGGAATGCTTGCTGGCTTTTCTGTGAGCAATCCAAGGACAAGGTATCCCATTGTTTGGCCCTGCTGCCCCTTCATTGCCCTTTTTGGATGTTAGCTCCAGGACTGTGCGCAATGGCTTGCTTCCATGGTAAAGTTTCCAGGAGATTCAGACGTGGGTAACATCTAAAATCATCTCTCAGAGCTCTTTCAGCGCAGGCAGCCTGTGCTGTGCAAGACGCATTCTGTTCCCTCTAAGCCTCTCTTGAAAACCCGCTGCTAGCAATTATCTACTTCAATCCCATTTTCATATTCCAGATGGGGGAAGCTGCAAATAAACCAGAAAACTGCAGCCAATGGCAAACACGGGGCTCCGGCAACCTGCATTGGAAACACATAGTCGTCAGCTCTTCTTTGCTTCTGCTCAGTGATTCCAACTAAATGTGCTTGCAAGGAGACGTGACTGGGGCGTACTATTATTGAGCAAGCACGTAACAATCATGAGGATTTCATTTAGTCCCCTGCAAAAAAAAAAAAAAAAAAAAAGCAACAACAAACCAGCAGCAATCTGGTCAGGCTAGCAGGAAAGCTGCATTCTGCGTAGCAGAGTGCTGTCCGTACTGTGCCTTCAGTACCGTGGCATTTGCATGCAGAATGCAGTGCCTTCAGTCATACACTGCTCACTATTTGGGCTCCTCTGTTTCCCCTGGTTATTCCTCCAGAGTAAGCATAAGCAAGGTCACTGTGCATCTCTTCAAGGACAGAGCTCTCAGTTCCTGCATGCTGATTTATTGGAGGCTCTGAGTAACCTCACAGGCGCAGAGAGGGAGACTGCCTCTCAGTGCAGGCTCTAAGATCCATTCATTTAAAGAGACAAATATTCTGATTGTTCCTGCACAAGAAACAGTTCTCTTTTGAAAGGGCAAAGCAACAAGACCTTGACCACGGCCATCATAACTCCTCTAAAAATCTCCCCATTGTCAGGAGAGGCTCAATTTAGCTCCCAGGGAAATCAATGGGAGTTTTGTTGCTCATTTCACTAGGAGCAAAATCTGACCCTCACCCTTCTCTTCTTAAAACAAGTTGCAATGAAAGCTTTATCCATAAACAAACAGGTTTATGACTAGGAGGTTGTTTTGCCCCAATAACAGATGGAAAAAGGATTTTGACAACAAAACATGGGGGAAAGTCCTTTGTCTAAGAGAATGGGAAGAGTTTTGTGTGAATAAATTTTACAACAGACAAATCAGCACAGGCAAAATGCTCTACTGTGTGAAGCAGCAAACAGGGACTGTATCTGTACGTTGCCTCAGCTGTAATTGGTGCTGCAGAGGTAGAAGGGCCAAAGGTAACATTGTGCAACCCCTTCAACCCAGTTGCTGCAGCCAGCGCTAGTCCTCACCATGACCTACAGTAGTCTAGGCAAGACAATCAAAGGCTAAAGCAGTCTTTGCCTCACCTAATTTTAAGGAACTAAAGGAACACAAGTGCTTAAGGTAGGACCCCTGACCCTGAACTCCTGCAGGCAGGAGACCAGCTCTTTAGACCCCTCTGACTTCGCAGAGAAGGTGTAGGGTTTCAGCCCCTGATATGTGCTTCTTCAGTCCCTCCCACAGCTCCCACACATCTCTTTCTGAACTCTGCTAAATGCTTCAATTATCACCTATGCATATAAAAAGAGAGGTGAACCTGCATCAGATCAAGTATTATCCAGCCCAGAGCCTTGTCCCTGGCACTGGCTATGCAGGGGATACACAGGGAAAAGCAGAAGCAGAGGGCAAAGACGTACCAATACCTTCTTGAAAACACTCCTACCATTTTGTGGTTCAGGGTCTTGCAAAACCAAGAAAACCAGTATTTAGGTTGAAGAAATAACTGAGTTGGATGCACTTATTTGTACTGTACTGGGAATAATACACATAATACCAGGTGACTGCAAATTAAACAGCAAAAGCAGTTTGATTCCCTGTTGCCAAAGTAATCACCTCTAGGGCCAAATGTATTTCTTCTAATGAATATTTCACATAAGTCATATAACATGCGAATGTTTCCATATGTGAGCTGTACCATTTAGATGGATCTAACCACATACCCTTCTCAGTAACTGGAAAAGCTCTACGGCCATCAGAAATCCCAGTCTGAGACCGCACGAGACACCACACAGGCTGATTTGTATGGAGAAGTCAAGACGCAAGGCCAAGCAAGGGCAGGTGTGAAGGAAAAAGTACTTAATCTTTGAATTGTTGAATTCTTACTGATAGCTTTGAAAATCCTCTCCAAGAAATTTGTCTCAGTTCCTCCAAGAGTTATTTCACAGCTAAGTATCAGAGAGTAAAATTTGACGTCTTATGACCATCTATGGGTTCAATGTCAGTTTTACAGATTCTTGTATCACCTCGGTTTTGGTGAAAACACTTTCAGCCTTTCTTCCTGTTTTTTCCCCTTCATTCAAAGTGATATTTGCTTTAGATTTTTGGGCTATAGTACACCAAATTTATAAGCCTAGCAGGTACTTCTCCTCCTGGTCTGATGGTCAAACTGAGCTGCAGTAAACAGCCCACATACTCTCCATCACTCTATGATTTTCTGTGTCCTCTCATCATTCTCTGCTGTATCAGAGCTGGTCAGAAGATACAGCACCTGAGAGGTCTATGTGCAGCACAGCTGCAGACCTACAGCAAAAGCAAAGTACAAAGATAACTATTATAAGTGGGAAGGGTTTTCTGTGCCAGATCTTGCACAGACACTGTTCCTGATGTCACGTATGGAAGAGATCTGTTAGCTGTCTTCAGCCCAGTACACCAATAACATTGCAAATCTGGAGGCAAAGCAGCTCTGCGCAAGAATAAAGAAAGAGGATGTCTACTGAAAAATTTTCAAAGGATGCTCAAGGTTGCATGCAATATTTACTGTGAGTGAAATACCCATATAGTGCATGCAGAAGGGCTGAATGAGCAATGCCAGCACTCATTTCCAGAGACCCTTTGAGAGTTTGACTTGTCAACTACAGGCCTTCTTGGAACCATCAGGCCTCTCCTGTTTGAAAAGGGCTGAAACAGCCCTCAAAGATCACCAAGTGCAACCATTATCCCAGCACTTCCAGGTCCACCATGAAACCACATCCCCAAGTGCCACATCTACACATTTTTGAACACTTTCAGCACAATACACACAAGCTCAGAAGGGCTATTCTTATATCAGTTCTTGGAGAACAGACTTCAGAGTCTAAAGCAAAAGTGCCAAAATGAAAAGAACTGCTCATAGTCTATCTTAATATGAAGCTGCCAGAAGCAGTCAGTCTTACACGTGTCTGGCCTTTATTTGTTTCATGTGAGCTACTTGCTAAATATCATCAGAGATAATCAGACACAAGAAACTCCTCCAGCCTGAGCAGTGAGACTCTAAAACCTCGAACACAAACACAAAGATGCTTCGTAGAGCGATAGCCTCCAATAGGACTTCATCATTTACTCTTCACTCCAAATGAAGCAGAACTGAACTTTTAAAAAGAAAAAAGTTAGCATTGTGTTCAAGACATGACTGGACATGGCACTTAGTGCCATGGTCTAGTTGACAAGGTGGTGATCAGTCAAAGGTTGAACTCAATGACCTCGACTGTCTTTTCGAACTTTAATGATTCTGTGATTAAATCTCAAAGGCAAAGAAACCAAAACCATATTACTTAAGTTTTACACAAAGAAAGATGAATTGGCAAAAGGACAAAATCTGGTACGAGTTAGAGTCTACTTCTCTTGTGGAGCGAATAAGCCCCCCCCTCTCTCTCTGCTGAAAAGACAATATACAGCCCTTAATTCTAAGCTGCAGTTAATTTTTTTAATGTAAATGAACCAGAAAAATTGATTTCTGATAGGCAGCTCTGATTGGGAATTTTTTTAAGTACCTTTCAGTGAACCTGTCATTTCAATCAGTGTTTGACTGATCATGCATTCTAATTTCAGCTGAAAGCAAGGGCATTTGGTGTCTGGTATGGCAGGATCTGTCTCCTGGTTGTTTAAATCACAGAATACATAACTGAACATGTTAAACTCAGCATAGTATAGGTTCAGAGTAAAACAAACCATGCTTCACACACCCCTTCAGGCTTTTTTCTCTCCCTGCCTGCTCAGCCGCTCTCCTCTCCTCTTCATGACTGTTTATGCAGACTAAAGAACTTCACACCCAGCATAGCAGAATACTATTTGCTGTAAATGGTTTGAGTAGAACATTTTTTACATCTAATTTTCCCCCTAAATTAAAATTAAATCATGTCTATGTACAGTTTCTACAATGCTTGTGTAAACTGCTAGATCCCTGATTTTGCAAAGAGCTGGCACATAGGTATATGACTGGAAGGTTCTGCTGAATATGAAATTCATAACATATGCTTATCAATATTAATTCTTTTTCAGATATAAAACATGAATTTATTAGCATAATCTAGTGCTTAACACAATGTCTAGTCCCCCATCACTGCCACAAATCCATATGTCTTAAACTGAGGTGGTGAAGGAAGCTGAAAGGATTTGGTTAAGATGTAAGCACTGACTTCCTTCTTGTTTGGAATAAGTCACAAGGAGACGACAGTGGCTAATTTGCCACCAGGCTCCTTCCTGTGGAGATGCCTGAATTAGAGGAAGTGTCCTGAAGGTAACATATGGTCTGTACACTGGTTATACATTACATCATCTGTTGAATCATGACCAGTTTCCTTCCAATTGAGGGTCACATTGGGCCACATATGGGAGAAAAATGACCCATTGCATAAAATGTCCCCTTTCTACACTGATGACACCATCTCTGTTGTAAAAGGAATGAGGTCTTCCTCAAAAGAATGCAGTCCTTCCTCTCACTAGTAGGAAGCTCTGATGCAGAGGCTGCCACGGCTATAGTGCTGTACATTTACCATTAACAGCTCCTTATAGCAGGGCCTGCTAAAATACATA